GTAAACAATGCCCTGAACGGTAACCTTTGTTGCCTGCTATTTACCATGGTTTTACAGTCATGTTGCTTACATGTTGAATACTATGATGATAAACTATGTATTTTAGTATGGTATAAGACATGCAGATTCTATCAGGCTGTACAGGAACATAAAGCTGACTCTTTTCATTCTCAATCAGCTAGTCAGTGTAGTTCTACCAACTAAACCACCCTCCTGCCGCAGATGTGTTACACAATTTACCGTCCCCACAATGCACTTGGGCAATTCAAGGTACAGTCTGTGAATGTGTGTGTTCGTCTGCCTCTGCCTCGAGAGAAAGGACATACTCCTTTAGAACCTAATTTAGCATGCTTAATTTCCAGTATCTCCATGCCAACCCCACTAGGTCAACCAATGAAAGGGCTGTGAGAGTGGGGAGGAGTGGTCTAGATGTATGTATAAGGGACCCAACGTATCAACACATCAATAGGATGATATCTGTAATAATATGCATCATACCATGCTTGGATGTATAATTCTAAATATTAACTTATTCACTCATGAATTGCATAATAGTATCATAAGTGTACCTGCACATTTTAAATACATCATTTTTTGATGTAGTTATTATGTTGTTATGAAATGTAAAACATGGATATTGCCTCTTAATCCAGTTTGTGCAGTGAAGAAACACGGAGTAAGTCTGCTGTGATGGGTGTTGTCTCTGTCCTTCCTAATTAGTGTGCACCAGATGGATACTCTGGGCCATGTAGGAGTTTGCAAATTAGGTCACCCTTTCATGAGTGAAGACAGTTAGCTAGTGTAAAGGCAACAGAACCCTTGGCATTTCATATAGCACCTTAATAACTAACTGGCTACACTACAATCTACATAATACAACAACTCATTATTATTGTCCATACATGTTGAATATTTTCCCAGTTACAATATTTTACAAAATATTTAGGACTGAAGTATAAATATTGTGGAATAATAATAGTAACATGAAACAAATTAGTAAACGTATATGATTTATTCATACATTTCTTTTAAAAAAACATGCAGGATTAACAATAACACTGTTCATATAAAAATATCAAATATATATTTAAAATGCATTAAAGTGTTGCAGTTATCTGTTGAATTTTTTTCCTTGTTACACATATGGAAAATACCAGAAAAGTGTGCCCATATTGTGTAGTCACACAGACTGAGCACATAAGGGATCCTGCTTTAATTAAAAGACAACTGGTCACAGAGAGCTTGCCAGTCACCTCTTCATAACACTGTGAAAGATTCCCTGTGAGCTAACCTGCTGTCACCTCCGCAACACTGTCAGAGAAGTACCTTTGGTCTTGTGTGCACTCCCCCGGTCACCTCATTGACAGTCAGGGACCTTGCTACCTGTGAGCTCATGGTGAGTGAGGGAGCCATTTCAGTATCATCAGTATCTTAAAATGATCATACATTTTTTATCACAGTCATAATTACAAATACATCAGCTAAGATACCTAGGTCAAATAAGTAGAATCGCATATTTTTTTTCCCATGACTTCATATAATCTCCCCAGAATACTGGAAATTGCATTGCTTTTTGGTTTAACACAAATGGCTGATTTGTATGTTCAACATGCACATACTATTGACATATATTCATATATTTGTTAAACACCAAAAAGGAGCAGATAAGAAAATTAAACTAATATAAATTAATGTTCCATTATTTGTGACCCAAAAAGTCATTTTAAAAGCAGTAAGTATATCAAAGTACTGCACAGGTCTTATAGCGACTGTGTAATAACTAAAATTATAAACTGGGTGGTTTGAGCCCTGAATTCTGATTGGCTGAAAGCCATTGTATATCAGACTGTATACCACGGGTATGACAAAACGTTTAGTTTTACTGCTCTAATTATGTTGGTAACCAGTTTATAATAGCAATAAGGCCCCTCGGGGGTTTGTGGTATATGGCCAATATACCACGGCTAAGGGCTGTGTCCAGGCACTCGGCGTTGCGTCGTGCTCAAGAACAGCCCTTAGCCGTGTTATATTGGCCATATACCACACCTCCTCGGGCCTTATGGCTTAAACAGACCATCTTGATGCTAACGACATCTGCAGGTGACATCCGATATATCAGGATCCTTTACAATAGGAGTAATGCAAGTCCTTCTCAAACTTTCAGTCCACTGGCAGCATGATACTACACTACATGTCATAAGACACAACTTATATAAAGGCACAATACACAATGCCATGTTCCATTAAGACATTTCATTTGAACTAGTATTGTAAGTGCCCTGGAATGTTTTTGCTAACTTATTTTAGCTGTATGGCACAAACGAAAGGTCCACACATATACACATAGTGTCAAAACCTTCCACACCCGGTAAGTAACCCTTTGCGGAGCCTTAAGGTGCCATTTACATGATTTACATATTAAATACAAACATGTACGTCTTTGGTACATAGTGCTGAGAGAGGTACTTTTCAAACCCTTCAAGTCCCCGGTGTTTCAGGGTTTCCCCTGTTAACTCCATGTTCCTGAGCAACAGTAGGGTACAAAGGACACACATCAGTGATGTGCATCACCTTGGGTTTTCCACTGGAGGGCCCTATTGTCCTCTGAGTCTGTGCAGATGCTAGACAGACTCTGGAGGGTTTGGCCCCGGAGAGAGGGAGCGTTTGAGGGAAAAAAGAGGGAGCGCTTTGGTTGACCAATCAAGAGCCAGCTCATCTTGGATGATTTAAAGGATGGGACAGCTTGTGTTCCTTTAATCAATCTGGGCCCGGTTTCCCAAAAGTTCATCGTTAGAACCAGATGCTTTTGGGAAACCAGGCCCAGGTCCTCTTCTCAACCCAGAGAAGTAGAGGCGATAGTACCACAATCATATGGTGGTCCTTTATAGCTCAGTTGGTAGTGCATGGTGCTTGTAACGCCAGGGTTGTGGGTTAGATTCCCGGGACCACCCATATGTAAAATGTATGCACTCATGACTGTAAGTTGCTTTGGTTAAAGCATCTGCTAAATGGCATTTATTATTATATTATATCCAACGGCAGTCTCAATCCTATGATTCTACTCATAAATAATATGAATAATATATTATACTTTTGAGGTTCGATTCGATGTGCAATCTCACTATGCCAAAATGGAAGAGAAGTGTCTTATCCTGAATGGGCAGTAATCTCTGGTACATCGTAAGCCTATCAGACTGCATAATACACCTCAGACAGAGACTCTGGATCCTTAACCGTGCTGAAATATCATGAGGGTAAACCATGTTAAAGTGCCACAAGGCTCCTCTCCACACGTAAAACCATAAGTATCAGAATCTTCTGAGTAAGTCCTTTCTGAATGAACAAGCGGCACTGGGCACCCAATCCTCCAGAGGAAGTCATTCCCTGCCAGACTACGAAGTATCAGATTACCATTACATCAGCTGAATCCCGGAGGAGGAGGAGAGAGCTGGGCTCACTGAAGTGAGAAGGAAATAAAAAAGTGGTTACAAAGCTAAAAACCAGGAGGGTATTGTGCTGAGGTCACAGAGGTTCTCAAACCTGACCAGTCAACTTGTTTTGTCTATTAGGCACCGATGGGACTGGAGGAGAGGAAATGTCCTGTTGGTTAGTCATCTGAGAGTCTGTGGTCAGGATGTGTGACCATGGGGGGTTGTTTAGACCAGTGGCGGCCCGCCCATTAGGGTGTTAGGGGCGGCGCCCCACTTGTGATTGGTCAACAAAAATATTTGTATAACAAAAAATATATATACAGTATATATTATATAATTCATGAATTATGTTTTAAATGCTCACAAAAGTGCAATAAATGTGTACATTTTCCTGTTTAAAAAATATATTGTTCAAAACTAGCTGTTCAGTTACTTAATACTCTGCCCCTCAGTGACTGCCAGCAGCAGCAGCAGCAGCTCCATTCCGTGGGCGCATAGGCCACATTGCTTATATTGTTTTGCCAGCTATTTGCTCCATGAAATCGCAGGATTTCATAGCATAAATTATAACAGCACAAAGTTAATGGACCATCCTGAGGCGCTCAAATGTGCGCTCAGTCATAACTTCTGGGTCTGTTCTAGTCTCCCTCCCAATGAGTCTCTCGCGCCAGACGTCTTACTTCCACACGTGAGACTAGATCTGCTCTATCAGGCACAGATGGCGCTAAAGCAACAATTGAATTGTAATTAACTTCTAAATAAATAACCATAACTGTCATGGGAGCCTGGGACCTGATAAACCGGACATCTACACCCAACAAGAGTCGTAGGACAGAGGGATACACTAGCTAGAACCTTCTCATCGAGGATCTGGTAGGACAAAAAAGGCATGACGGTGGCTGGCCAATTTGATTGTTTCCCCCCATGCTGTTCATTAGGTTCTACTGTAGGTGACAGAGCGACATGTTGTGTGGACTAAAACAGCATGATCAAATGAATTAGTCAGCTACAGTAATGTTTTGAAACATTGAGAAATAGTTTGGTAGATTTTTTTGTCAAATTAACCAGTTAGTACCTTTGATAAGCAGCTAGCTAGTTATAGCTATATGGTAGCTTGCTAGGTAGTTAGCTCCCATGTCAATTTCAAGTCTTTCTAAACTAATATCTAACTCGGAAATATGGAAAATATGTTAACTGGCTAGCGCATCATGCTTTGTGACAATATGTTAGCTAGCTATCCCCAGTTAGATCATCTGTTTTCACTTATTGCATCTGCATGCTTGTTACGTTCTCGTTTGTTCGTGACCTGGCTTCTCATTCTAAATAGTACAATCTAATCTGTTCAAAACAGTGGCATCATGTGTAGCAGTGGTCATTCGGTTTTTCACATGCAAAAATGAAATAGGTGTATTTATGCTGTTGTTCAAATGCACAGATCTCTTTATATATTTTCTCAAATAAACTATTGGTAGTTAGAAAACTTGGCATCATATATCATGCTGCTTTGTTGACAACTCCAACCACCTCGTGCCCCGACTATTCAGCCAATCATCAGCCACCACTGGTTTAGACCATGAATTGCATATATCCCTCTGCCCCGGTAACGATTACGTCCATCCAGATACGCATAGCTTCAGGGGAGGGAGACACCATGTAGTACACCCTGTCATGGGTCTTCACACTGAAAGTCAGAGATGGGTTGGGGCTCTGTGAGGGAGGGAGGGAGTTGCAAAAGAGGGAGTAAAAAGAAAAGCAATGTCACTATAGTTTAAGAATTTTTTTGTTTCTTACCATAAAATACGGATACTTCAATACTTTAAATGTGTATACCATTTGTCCCTTACCTTGTGTGCATTCTTTAAATGGTCATAGTAAACCTCTTCTATGGCTTGGAAGTATATGACCCCTTTCATCTTGACCTCATGTTTGTCTGTAAGAGAGCACAATACTGTAGCGCTAGGATGACCATGTTAATGTGTGGTGAAACAAAACCATCACTTCAATCAAAGCTCTTCCTAGATTTCCAGAGTAAAACAGCTTAGCTTGATTAAGATGTCATCGCTGCTTTTCTTGCAGCGCTCTGATTAATCTACCATTTACAACTGCAACAGACAGAGAGAGAAGAGAGAGAGAAAGAGAGAGAGAGATAATGTCAGTAGGAGAAAAAGGAGAGAGAAAGCGAGGGAAAGATAGTAGAAGGTACCTGCATAGTAGGCCAGGGTCCTGCGGTTCCGGTCGAAGACAAACCAGCGTTTCTTCCAGGTCTTGATCTTCCCACCCATCTTGACCAGGAACCCTCTGCAGGTTTTATCTGTGATGGCCAGGTGGTAGCAGTTGTCTGGGTTGTGTCCAGCTGCCTCGATGTGACCATGGAGGTCAAAGTCATCCTTCCTCTGAGGGAGGTAGCGTGTCAGCGGCCGGGCCTAGGGACAAGGGTCAGAGGTGTCTGGTCTGTGTTGAGCCCATGGCTTAAAGCTAAATTCAAGTTAAAGATCTGCTAGACATTTTTCTTAAAAATTTCATAGTTGCTTTAAAGCATTTTAAAGCTATTTCCTATTTAAATGACCATGCATCTGAAATGATTGGTATTATGAATCTTGGCCCTTTCTGGATCTCCCACCTGTGCCCTCTGTTTCTCACGTAGCTTCACCTCGATCATCTTCTGCCTCCTGCTGGTCTCCTCCTGCAGTCTCTTCTCCAGGTCCTCCCTCCTCCTCCGCTCCTCCTCCAGGGCCTGCCGGCGCACCTCCATCTCACGCTCCTACACAGAAAGTTACAGCATGGTCAACACACACACACACACACACACACACACACAAAGAGGGCGGTAGAGATGGTTTTACTTATGAAGGTTTCATTACCTTGTGCTCAAGGAGTCGATACTTGTCAGCCTGGGCCTCTCGTAACAAACGTTCCATCTCCTCAATCTTTGCTACATTGGATGTGCTGGCACTGTGGAAAAAAGGTTTCATAAACACAAAGCAAAGAGAGGACACATGCCCACCAGGAAAAGGACTGTCCATCCTGGAACCTATTACGTGTGAGTGAAATTCCAGACCAGGGCCCTTACTATAAAGTTAACATGAACACTGCACCTCTGCACCAGTCATACCATCACATTCTGTACAACGTATAGACACTACATTCGCTCAAATATTTTTTACATCCTGTATATACTGTATGGACTGACCAAGATCACTCTCACACACTTAACCAATTTTCACTTTCAGGGTGGTCCTATGTGTACGGAATCAGTAATGTAGAAAACACACCTTTTCTGTTTATAAAAACACCTCTCCTGCTTATAAAACTGGGTGTGAGACAGCTGGACAACATATAGCCAAGACACGTTGTTCAGCATCCTCACTAACAAAATAAAATGTTTGGGTCCCACTAGTAAATGTTCTGGTCCCCCTTGGTCAGTTCAGAGTATTGATCGGAGACCTCTTATGTTGATAAATGTGTCTGTTTTTCTTAATATATGTTTTGTAATTTTGTATATTGTATGTGTTTGATGTATTTATGCAAGGCTCATCTGTAAAAGAGACCCTAGTCTCAGTCTGACTTCCCTGTCAAAATAAAGGTTAAATAAATAAAAAGTACAGGACTAGCATGACACACCAAACAACATTATATTGACATTCTAGCAGACGCTCTTATCCAGATAAGCAATTAGGTTTAAGTGCCTTGCTCAAGGGCACAGACAGATTTTTCAGTTAGTCGGCTCGGGGATTTGAACCAGTGACCTTTCGGTTACCGGCCAAACGCTCTTAACCGCTAGGCTACCTGCCAATACTCTGCAGACATATAGAAATAAACATTGTTTTCCCATTGTATCAGGATATCATGAAGATTTAGAATGAATCTAATAGTTTCACTTGGAAGAGCATGAGATCTAATGGAAAAGAGTCTACAGAACCATGTGCAACGAGCAGAATCAACTTTTGTCTGAGAGTTCAACTGATTTAATGTAACTGATTATTTCTGACAAGAACATGGTTGACAAAGTACTAGTACTTGATTAAAAACAATAACACAAGTTGTAACAACAAAGGATGCAAAAATGATGCTTTTGGTTTAAACAAACACAGCACAGCCTCTTCTCTTCAACAGACAACTAAGCACCAGTACCAACACACAAGCACACAAACAAGCTCTTTACTCACATCAGATTCAGCATCCTGACACTATCCCAGCAACACACTAACAGTACTGACGGGCTGGATCTCCACGAGGCTCTGAGAGGTAGCTGGGCCCCTTTACTGAGAGCACAGCTGTGTGTGTGACCCTTCTGCACCAGCCTCAGCCTCCCCCCTCCCTGCTGGTCAGCCCTCCATCTGGGGCTCTCACCCTGCCTCACTCTTGCGTGCTTCGCACAACTTCACTCAGCTTCACTCCTGCTCGCTTCACGCCTGAACGCTTCACTCAGCCTCATTCCTGCTCGCTTCACTCCTGCACGCTTCACTTAGCTTCACGCCTGAACGCTTCACTCAGCCTCATTCCTGCTCGCTTCACTCCTGCACGCTTCACTCAGCTTCACTCCTGCACGCTTCACTCAGCTTCACCCCTGCACGCTTCACTCAGCTTCACTCCTGTACGCTTCGCTTAATCACAGAAATGAATATGGAGTGATGCTGAGTCACATCTCTCTAATTCATAACATGTCTCTGACAGGCCATGTCCCCAGTTCTCCTCTGAACAAAAATGCTCTTTTCAACTAATGTTACATTGAGCTAACAATGATCCTACTTTAACAGTGGTCCTACTTGAAGAAGTGCCCTACTTGAACAATGGTCCTACAGTTCTCTCTCTCACCTGGAGATGTTGTCTGGGGAGCAGGCAGAGATGCTGGTCTCCATGCTGTCAGAGCTGTCCGCGCTGAGCGTGTCGAAGCCATGGCCGTTGTCTGCGTAGTGGAAGGGGTCCAGGAAGACATTGGACTCAGACACGGCCCTGCTACACAGGTCAACCAGTCTCTGTCTGTCCTCATTCATGTACAGGTGGCTGTGGCCTGCTGAGAGACAGATGGACACACAGACAGACATACTTTATAAAGCCTTTTATCAGATTAGATTAAACATTTAAAATGTTTGTTGCTGGTTAACTGTCACAACTTAATTGCAGTTGGTCAGAGGGTATTGCTGATACACAAATAGTATATTCCCCTCCAACACTGAAATGGGCATGGTCATTCAACCCCCTCAGACCTGTTTCCAAAGGCTCTTGTTCCTTCCGCTTGATATACTATAAGAGTAGAGTTGAACATGTCATTACTGCTCAGACCGATGCTAATGGACACTGGAGGAAAGACGCCCTGTGGCCGTCCATGTTAACTAACATGCAATGTAGTATGAAAAATGTATGCACTCACTAACTGTAAGTTGCTCTGGATAAGAGCGTCTGCTAAATGACAAAAAAAAAGGATACAAAATTTAGAAGAAACATTTATTTAAAAAATAAATAAATGTAGACCAGGTCACACAGGAGAGGAAAAGCTATGAATGTCTATCTCTGCAGCATGTAGCTAGCATGCCGTGAGAAACAGGAAGTAGGTAGGGAGAGAGGCAGGGAATCCAGGGACAATTAGAGAAAAGCCAGAGAGAGACAGAGAGATAATGAGATGGTGTTACAACACTGAACAAAAATATAAACGCAACCTGTAAAGTGTTGGTCCCATGTTTTAAAAGATACCAGAAATGTTCCATACGCACAAAAAGCGTATTTCTCTCAAATTTTGTGCACAAATTTGTTTACATCCCTGTTAGTGAGCATTTCTCTGTTGCCAAGATAATCCCTCCACCTGACAGGAGTGGCATATCATGAAATCTGATTAAACAGCATGATCATTACACAGGTGCACCTTGTGCTGGGGACAATAAAAGGCCACTCTAAAATGTGCAGTTTTGTCACACAACCCAATGTCACAGATGTCTCCAGTTTTGAGGGAGAGTGAAATTGGCATGCTGACTGCAGGAATGTCCACCAGAGCTGTTGCCAGAGAATTGAATGTTTATGTCTCTACCATAAGCCGCCTCCAATGTCGTTTTAGAGAATTTGGCAGTACTTCCAACCGGCCTCATAACCGCAGACCATGTGTAACCATGCCAGCTCAGGACCTCCACATCCGGTTTCTTCACCTGCGGGATCGTTTGGGACCAGCCACCCGGACAGCTGATGAAACTGTAGGTTTGCACAACCAAAGAATATCTGCGTGCTCGTTGTCCTCACCAGGGTTTTGACCTGACTGCAGTTCGGCGTCGTAACCGACTTGTGGGAAAATGCTCACCTTCGATGGCCACCTTCGGTTTCAACTGTACCGGGCAGATGGCAGAGAGCATGTATGGTGTTGTGTGGGTGAGTGGTTTGCTGATGTCAACTTTGTGAACAGAGTGCCCCATGGTGGTGATGGGGTTATGGTATGGGCAGGCATGAGCAACGGACAATGAACACAATTGCATTTTATTGATGGCAATTTGAATTCACAGAGATACTGTAATGAGATCCTGAGGCCCATTGTCGTACCATTAATCCGCTGCCATCACCTCATGTTTCAGCATGATAATGCACGGCCCCATGTCGCAAGGATCTGTACACAATTCCAGGAAGCTTAAAATGTCAGAGTTCTTCCATGGCCTGCATACACACCAGACATGTCACCCATTGAGCATGTTTGGGATGCTCTGGATCGACGTGTACGACAGCATGTTCCAGTTCCCACCAATATCCAGCAACTTTGCACAGCCACTGAAGAGGAGTGGGACAACATTCCACAGGCCACAATCAACAGCCTGATCAGCTCTATGTGAAGGAGATGTGTCGCGCTGCATGAGGCAAATTATGGTCATACCAGATCACTGACTGGTTTTCTGATCCATGCTCCTACCTTAAGGTACACTACATGACCAGGCCAGTTCGATGGGGTTGAGGTCAGGGCTCTATGCAGGCCAGTCAAGTTCTTCCACACCGATTTCGTCAAACCATTTCTGTATGGACCTCGCTTTGTGCACGAAGGCGTTGTTTTGCTGAAACAGGAAAGGGCCTTCCCCAAACTGTTGCCACAAAGTTGGAAGCTCAGAATTGTCTAGAATGTCAATGTATGCTCTAGCGTTAAGATTTCCCTTCACTGGAACTAAGGGGCCTAGCCCGAACCATGAAAAACAGCCCCAGACCATTATTCCTCCTCCACCAAACTTTACAGTTGGCACTATGCATTTGGGCAGGTAGCGTTCTCCTGGCATCCATCAAACCCAGATTTGTCCGTCGGACTGCCAGATGGTGAAACGTGATTCATCACTCCAGAGAACGCGTTTCCACTGCTCCAGAGTCCAATGGCGGCGAGCTTTACACCAGCGGACGCTTGGCATTGTGCATGGTGATCTTAGGCTTGTGTGCAGCTGCTCGGCCATGGAAACCCATTTCATGAAGATCCCGACGAACAGTTCTTGTGCTGACGTTGCTTCCAGAGGCAGTTTGGAACTCGGTAGTAAGTGTAGTAACCGACGACAGACGATTTTTACGAGCTACGTGCTTCAGCACTCGGCGGTCCCGTTCTGTGAGCTTGTGTAGCCTACCACTTCGCGGCTGAGACGTTGTTGCTCTTAGACGTTTCCACTTCACAATAACAGCACTTACAGTTGACCGGGGCAGCTCTAGCAGGGCAGAAATTTGACGAACTGACTTGTTGGAAAGGTGGCATCCTATGAGTTTTTCAGTAAGGCCATTCTACTGCCAATGTTTGTCTATGGAGAGGGCCTGGCTGTGTGCTCAATTTTATACTCCTGTCAGTGGCTGAAATAGCCAAATCCACTAATTTTAAGAGATGTCCACATACTTTTGTATATATAGTGTATCTGTGACCAACAGATGCATATCTGTATTTCCAGTCATGTGAAATCCATAGATTAGGGTCTAATTTATTTATTTCAATTGACTGATTTCCTTATATGAACTGTAACTAAGTAAAATCTTAGAAATTGTTGCATGTTGCATTCATATTTTTGTTCAGTGTAGATACAAATAAACAAAGTTCAGAATAATACTTTAAAGAGAATGCTTCCTCTCCTCCAACTAATATTGAAATTCTAGACAATAAGTCATTAGAGGCATCATAAAAATAAAATACAAATTGAAGTATGCACAGACAGAACTGTGTTTTGGCTCACCCTTGAGCAGGCGTCGAGTTTCCAGAACTCTGGGAGAGACAGAGAGGCCCCGGGGGATTATACTACCACAGCTGGAGCTCTGGGACAGGGGCAGGTGAGACTGCAGAGTAGACAGACGGACACAACAGACAGAGAGTGAGATGACCTGGTAAGTGTCTCTCTAACCCAAAGCTCCAGTAATCAGATGCTGGGACTCTGGCATTATCAATTAATTATTAAATTAAGAGAAATTAAGGCCCTGAGGGAGTTGTGCACTGCTGATCTAACCCCTGTGGTTGTCCTATGTCCAGCTGACCCCAGGGAGGAGAGGTTGGTCTGGTTCCCCAAATGCTCACCTTAGGGGACAGGCTGCAGCCCTGGGAGTGGAGGTTGGTCCCCCATGCTCACCTTAGGGGACAGGCTACGGCCCAGGGATGGGAGGTTGGTCCCCCATGCTCACCTTAGGGGACAGGCTACGGCCCAGGGATGGGAGGTTGGTCCCCCATGCTCACCTTAGGGGACAGGCTACGGTCCAGGGATGGGAGGTTGGTCCCCCATGCTCACCTTAGGGGACAGGCTACGGCCCAGGGATGGGAGGTTGGTCCCCCATGCTCACCTTAGGGGACAGGCTACGGCCCAGGGATGGGAGGTTGGTCCCCCATGCTCACCTTAGGGGACAGGCTACGGCCCAGGGATGGGAGGTTGGTCCCCCATGCTCACCTTAGGGGACAGGCTACGGCCCAGGGATGGGAGGTTGGTCCCCCATGCTCACCTTAGGGGACAGGCTACGGCCCAGGGATGGGAGGTTGGTCCCCCATGCTCACCTTAGGGGACAGGCTACGGCCCAGGGATGGGAGGTTGGTCCCCCATGCTCACCTTAGGGGACAGGCTACGGCCCAGGGATGGAGGTTGGTCCCCCATGCTCACCTTAGGGGACAGGCTACGGCCCAGGGATGGGAAGGTTGGTCCCCCATGCTCACCTTAGGGGACAGGCTACGGCCCAGGGATGGGAGGTTGGTCCCCCATGCTCACCTTAGGGGACAGGCTACGGCCCAGGGATGGGAGGTTGGTTCCCCCATGCTCACCTTAGGGGACAGGCTACGGCCCAGGGATGGGAGGTTGGTCCCCCATGCTCACCTTAGGGGACAGGCTACGGCCCAGGGATGGGAGGTTGGTCCCCCATGCTCACCTTAGGGGACAGGCTACGGCCCAGGGATGGGAGGTTGGTCCCCCATGCTCACCTTAGGGGACAGGCTACGGCCCAGGATGGGAGGTTGGTCCCCCATGCTCACCTTAGGGGACAGGCTACGGCCCAGGGATGGGAGGTTGGTCCCCCATGCTCACCTTAGGGGACAGGCTACGGCCCAGGGATGGGAGGTTGGTCCCCCATGCTCACCTTAGGGGACAGGCTACGGCCCAGGGATGGGAGGTTGGTCCCCCATGCTCACCTTAGGGGACAGGCTACGGCCCAGGGATGGGAGGTTGGTCCCCCATGCTCACCTTAGGGGACAGGCTACGGCCCAGGGATGGGAGGTTGGTCCCCCATGCTCACCTTAGGGGACAGGCTACGGCCCAGGGTAGAGCTGCTGTAGTGACTGAGGGGCTGCTGGCTCCTCTTACGGGGCAGAGTGTCACTGAGGTGGGAGGAGTTCTCCTTACTGCCCCGCCTCCTCTCCTCCAGAAAGCGGAAGTGCTGCACAGACCAGAACAGAAACATCAACATGTTAAAGGAATAAAGGTTAAAATATAATTGTACGCTGACGATGTTGTAGTAAAGGTCTGCTACGTCTGACCCTGTGAACTCTGTCTCAAAGCTAATAGAACGTCTTAAATAATTTGGCAGTTCCTCCAGGTACAAGATGAATGTTAATAAAACGGAAGCACTGGCCTTAAATACACATATCACCCCCTATATAAAAACATTGTTCTCTTTTAAGTAGCCGAATGAAGCTATCACATATCTAGGAAATACTATACCTGCTGATCTGGATAACTTATACAAAGCCAACTACACCAAGCTGATAGATAGAATCAAAGGAGATCTGGACCGCTGGTCTGTGCTGCCCCTCACCCTATCGGGAAAGGTACAATCAATAAGAATGAACGTATTACCTAGATTACTGTTCCCCTTTCAAACACTTCCAATCTCACCACCCAAATCTGTTTGTGCTATTAGACAAACTCATCTCCAGATTGATCTGGCAGGGACGACATCCCAGGGTCAGATATAAAGTCAAAATAAACATAAAAACAGGGAGGATGTGCAGTATCTTAAACATTACTGGCTTGCAACCCAATTTAGGGCCATTACAGTATGTCTGAAGCTGCAGGTACAAGATGGCTGGAAATAGAAAAGTCTGACTTGACTTTGGTCCCTCTATCTGTACTCCCATTCACTGAGGAAACTATATAGAGTGAGTCATGGAAAATGGGCAGGAACCACATATAAAGAATGGAAAGCGACGCAGCGAGTTTTCAACCTTCCTACAGGAATCTCAGTGTTATCATCCATTGTCGCTACGTTTAGACACAGGTTTTAGAAACTGGGCACATTTGAAACTCCAATATGTTCATCAATTATTTGAAAAGGGTACTCTAAAATCATTTGAAAGACTGAGCTCTGAGTTTAAAATACGAAGGTCAGACTTTTTCAGGTATCTACAAGTAAGAAGATTTCTATTCAAACACCAAAACTGGTTAAGGTTACAAGGCACCCCCTTGGCCATAGAACAATACTTAGCCAGAGTCCAGGAGAATCAATACACTGAGAAACCAACAACTAACTTATACAGGGCTTTATCAGCCATGAAACAAGATAACACATTGATCAAGATAGCATATTGATTCTTAGACAAAGGTGGTAAGGTGAACTTCATCAAGATAAGTGAAGAGACATGGTTAGATATATTCTCTGAAGCTCATAAAGTTACCAATGCAAATTCATGGAGGGGAATTTCAGTGGAAAAGAGTCAGTCGTTTTTTCAGAACCCACAGATCCCATGTTAGCCATTCTTGGATCCAAATCGGACATGGTGTTAGAAAGGAAGAAATTATATTTGTTACAAATACTTTTCATTGCAGCTAAAAAAGCTCTGCATTAAGATGGCCCCAGAAAGAACCTCCAACAGATGAGGAGTGTCAATTATAAGAACAATATACATCATTTGAAAAATGACATTTAGATTAAGATTTAAGCATGATCAATTTGTGGACAGATGGTCATTACTAACTGTGAACATGGAGATTCAGTGGGACTAGGGATTGTGTCTGATCAATGATCCCTTCCTCTTTATGGACTGTACATGTATATATTAACTGATTCCTTCAAAGTATGTATACAACCTAATCCACTCGGTGTGTGTTGTGTCTTGCTAGTGCCATTTTTTTTTATGTTAAGGTTTATTCATTATTATTTTTATTTTTTTTTCTGTTTTGTATTTGTTGCTTTTGTTTACGTGTCTTATCTTTCAACAACAATCAGCGCAGTACCTGTATGTTGGAATAAAACATATGGAAACGGTTTACATTAAGAAATGGGAGGTTTTTAGAAAGGAACCTCTGTTAGGCATTTCAGTCAGGCACTGAGTCTCTTAGTACAGACAGCTGCCCTCTGCTGGCCAGACATATGCACTGTGAGTAGTGTATTGTACATCATACCTCCTTCATGGCAACAGGGTTGTTAGGGAAGGCCTGCCCTCCAGTCAGTTCAGCATACTTCCTCTCCAGAGAGGCCAGGTTCTCCCTCTCCTAGAAACACACAGACTGTCAGTCAAACAAAGGTAAAGGTATACAGACACAAAACAGAACCAGTAATCAAAAACCTTCTTACCCTCTGAAGCATGAGGAGCAGGTTGTTCTTCTCTTTCAGGAAGCTGTCCTTCTCCCGCTGAGACTGCTGGGTAATCTGTGTAGACTGCTTCTTCAGGGTCAGGAGTCTCTCCTTGCGTGTGACAGTACTACGCTGGTAATCTGCTATCTCTCGGAGTAGATGCTGGGTCTGATCCTCCTTCTCCTCTTCCTGACGACTCTCTCTCTCCAGCTGCTGGAACTCCAGGTCATCAAAACGCTTCCTCTCCGCCTCCAGCACCTCAACATCCTGACGGACAACACACAGACACACATACACACGCACATCATTTAAGGTTGAGAATGCACTGGCTTTGAGTTGGTCCGTGTATGGAGGATTCAAACTCACAGACAGACAAATACATTGACATTTTACAGACAAATAGACCACGATAATGAGCTCCCATTATCCTGTAATGCCAATAAAATGCATTAGCTAGATAACAGCAACCTACATTCTACTCTCTTAGCACATACTTCATGTCACTGCACTTTCCATACTTGGCCATCTCTGTCTGAACCATAACAGAGAGACCATCAAGTGAAACCAGGGACAAGAAGGGAGCTGTCTGAGTGAGACAGGGGGGATATGAGGACATCTATAAAAGGGAGGGAAGGGTCAAAGTGGAGGATTCTATGTGCGCCACAGAAACAGAACAGAAAGGAAAACCCACGGTGACTACAAGGGAAGGGGAGGAGTCAGTTAGGAGGAGGAGGGGCAGCCAGAGAGGGAAGCAGAAGCATCCATATGAACTGAGGAGCATGAGGGACCAGTTAGGAGTTAGCTGCTGTGTCTTACTGACCCTGGAGCGCCTCGGGACAGGTGTCCAGCTGGGCCCTCTAGTCAGACATAAGCTCCTCCAGCCTCTCTACCTTTACCCTCTCAGCATCGAGCAGGGCTTTGCCCTGCACAGCAGTGGACACACACATACACGCACGTATACAAGAGCACACACATGCGTGCGAGTAAGAACACAACAACACCCACAACACAGCAAAGAGTGAGAGAGAGGAAAGAGAGTGTTAGTGAAGGTAAAGGAGGAACAAAGGAGGCAGCCGAAAAGTGAAGAAGGCCAGCCTACTGTATTTAGATCTGTGGGCTGGACTGTAGATTCCTCCAACTCAGATTCTCACCACTGACATCCCAACTCCCACACGTACCCTGACCGTCTGTCTCTCCCTCCACCTTACATTCTCTGTGTCTGAAAGCAATGGCATCCAACTCACAGAGATGGACAACATGTCTGCTGCAGTTACCTGGGACTTGTCTGTGAGGACTGTCTTGTCAATGCTGCCAATCTTGTCATTGAGTTGGTCCAGTACCTCCTTCTCCCTCTGTAGCAGGGCCATCTCAGAGACCTGCTCCCCCTCCAGCAGAGCCCGCTCCACCTCCATCTGCACCATACATACACACAAACAAATGCAGCTTTAAATCAGTATTCTTAGCTCCTCAAAGCCAGACACAGACAGACCAAAACGACCCCCCCCCCACTAGTGTCATTACCCAGCCACTGTAAACACTCATTTCCTAACTCCAAAGTATCCCAACTCATAAACACACATGTCCACACCCACTGACACACACACAAAGCACACAGCATGGGTGAAGCCCCCTCCATTCACTCTCCCATGCTGTGCTCTGTTCTGCTGTGTCCTGCTGTGTGGTGTGGTGTTGTGTGGTGTGGTGTGGTGTGGTGTGGTGTTGTGTGGTGCTGTGTGGTGTGGTGCTTTGTGGTGTGGTGTTGTGCTGTGTGGTGTGGTGTTGTGTTGTGTTGTGTTGTGCTGCATACCTCTCTGATGGATTCATCCATCTGGTTGTCCAGGTCTTTGATCTTCTGCTCCAACTCCTCTATGTTGTTCAGCACCTGGATCCTCTCTTCCTCGATACGGGTCACTTCCTGTTTCAGATGCACATCCTCCGTAGCCTGCTGCTGGTGATATTACAGAGCCATCATCAGTCCATGGGACTACAAACTATCAATCAACCAATCAAAACTATCAACCAATCAATCAATCAATCAAATGTATTCTATAAAGCCCTTTTTACATCAGCAGTTGTCACAGAGTGCTTTACAGATACCCAGCCTAAAATCCCACTATCTACTCACAATGTGTGTTACTGTCCACACTGTGATGATGTCATGTCTAAAACATTATATGGCCCACTGCAGGATCATGCCTAATTTAAAGCTATGGTACACAGAGGAATGGGAAATATTTGTTTTTATGTTTTCTTAATAACCTGTAAGTCCTTCTGATTGGTAGCTACAGTATGTTGGTTAGATGGAGCTGCCTCCGATTGCTGTGAGAGATAGTGAGGTGGAGTAATGCTGCTGCCATGTGTCTGTAACGCAGCGGAGACTCAGGTCCCTCAGGAGAACAGGGACTGGATTAATACTCTACTGTCTCAGAAGGACTCTACTGTGCAAGCCTCATGTATCTCCTATCAGTCAGAGAGCCCTGCTGCCACCAGAGAGTCAACACCCGCTCCTCTCATTAGCCCCTGATCTAATCCACACACATCCGCGCACATTCTGTATCTGACACATCACAACCTCTATCATATCTGCTGCCTGCTCCACCTCCAGATAGCAGCCTTCAGGAGTCCTGCTGAACAGCAGTCGGAGCCTCATATGGCAGGCAGGCAGCAGTCCTGGAATTTATGGGCTGTTTCAGAGAAGGTATGTGACTGGCTGCTCCACTGTTCCACTACCAGGACTTAGGAATATGAGAAGGAAGAAGAGAGTGGATTGGAAGGTTCAATAACTAGTGTCTTTAATGGGACTCTGCCTCAGCCGTAACAAATGATAGCGGAAATGTATTCTCTACATGGAATGAAATATCATACTAATCTGGTAGTTGGTACCATTAAAGTAGTAGAGTAGATTTTATTTTCCAAATACACAAAGCTTGTATGATTATCTATTGTAATGGTATAAATATTAATATCAGCTACAAAGTAGTTACCGGGTACTATAAGTACTTTAACATTAACAAAACATCTGGAGAAATACACATTTCTCTTACACACTCTTATACACTACACACGCGTGTGCACGGTTATTCTACTGGGGATAAAGTCATTTCCTGTTCCCCCTCCTTTCAGAGAGTTTGAGTGGCAGAGTGCTGTAACTGTATTCCCCAGAGAACTCCTCCATTAAAACCAAACGCACCATTAAGTCATTACTGCTCTAGACTGGAAAAATGCCACAGTTTTACAGCACCACTATAACTGTAATAGTGGCTCTTAGACTGAGACTGGGGTTAGGTGCAGAGAGACTGAGCTCCTCATGACATACTGGGGCACCAATGGAGGTGTACTCTGTGTTTGAATACACTTCCACTGTGAACATATGGGATATATAAGGAGAACTCCTTATATCTTTAACAACAATGATACCTCAACCCCCACAGGGCTGCATAGTTTCCTCTACTGGCTAATGCATGTATCTATATTCACACCATCTCTTTCATTAGTGAACACACACAGCTATGGCGGAATGAGTTACTGTGTCATGCAGATGCTTTGATAAATCCCTCCCTAACCCAGTAATGATCAACAACAAGCCCCTAGGCAAGGGGGAATTCCTTCTTTCTTTTCATACTTTTCCCACTCCTTTTCTACTGTGTGTGTGCGCACCCACATGTTTGGCTGTCTAAGATCATGTGCTTATTTGAGTGTTGAAAGGTTTAGATATGAAAGACCTCGGGTCTCAAGACAATGTTAAACATGTCACCAGGACTTACCCTGGCTCTGTGGTGAGGGGAGGGTGAGGGGACACTGCTGCGCAGGCTGACAGCAGGTGACTGGGCCCTGGCATCCCTGGCCTCTCTGTGCCCGCTGTGGCGGCGCTGGTGGACCTGCCGCTCCTCAGGGGCCTTGGTGCCATAGCCGTTCTCCGGGGCGGTGCCGGGGGAGTCGGAGAACACTGACTCATCATCAGACACCTGCAGCTTCTCCAGCTCCTTGTTGATCTTCTGCAGGTCGGAGATGGCCGAGCCGCCCTGGTCCCGCTCCAAACGGCCCAGCTCAGTACACAGGCTCAGGATGGTCTCCAACCGCTGGCGCTCCTACACACATTACAGGGAGAGGACCAGTGGTTAACACAGTCACACATTACAGGGAGAGGACCAGTGGTTAACAGTCACACATTACAGGGAGAGGACCAGTGGTTAACAGTCACACATTACAGGGAGAGGACCAGTGGTTAACACAGTCACACATTACAGGGAGAGGACCAGTGGTTAACAGTCACACATTACAGGGAGAGGACCAATGGTTAACACAGTCACACATTACAGGGAGAGGACCAGTGGTTAACACAGTCACACATTACAGGGAGAGGACCAGTGGTTAACACAGTCACACATTACAGGGAGAGGACCAGTGGTTAACAGTCACACATTATAGCCAATATACTACTCATTAGACTCAGACTGTGCTATTGGGATCCAATTATTTCATTGATGGGTATTTTGATCTATTTACAGTCTTTTGTCAACACAATGGGATCATGTGATCACCCAAAAGCATGATCAAACAACCTATAAACTACCCATAAAACACAATAAAACCAGAGAAAACCACATTTCAAATGTAATCAAGTGATTTTCTGAGGAACACAAAGTTCAAAGGAGTCTTAACCAGTCTGACCAACAGTCTGACCAACTGGTTCATGGCGCACCGCTCCGTGTGTGTTCCATCTCTCTACAGCAGGAGTGTGAGAGCGTGTTCAGTCAATTAAACAGGGAGCTTGTGAAACATGATGACAACTAGTCAGAACATCCAATTAGCCTTCTCAAGTAACAAAAGCTGAAATCAAAGCCCTATAAGCACTTTCATGTTTTCATAACAGTCCCTAGTAAAGAGACGGGACCAGACGAACTAGCAGAATGAAACCAGGCGTACAAGTCACACAATCAGAGCCTTCTAGAATAGCAGACTCTAGACTGACGAATAAAGACAGGATCATCATGATGATGATAATAATAACAATAATAATAATAATAATAATAATAAAATAATAATAATAATAATAATGGTATAATAATAATGAATAGAGTGCATTAGACAAGAAGTAAAATGATTGATCTAAGGCTGTGTTTGTCTCACCAGTCTCTGCACCTCCTGTTCTCTGAGCCTCTCGTCTCTCTGGTGCTTGTGGTAGTCTGTAAGCTCCTCCTTCCCATTCAGAGAGCTGATGCTGCCTCTTCTTGATCTCGGCCCCAGCCCACCCTTCCCAAAGGACAGCCTCCTCTCCCCCAGGCCCAGGTCCAGGCAGGGTGAGGATCCCCGCAGGCCCCCATGCTCCAGTTCACAGCCCAGAGAGGCCAGAGAGGCCAGGCTGGCCCTGCGGGGAGTACCCGGTACGCTGGCTGTGGCTGGCACTGTTACGTCTGGCGGCCGTTCCAGAGGAGACAGGCTGCGCCTCGTATTGGAGGACAGGGACACAGAACCCTTCTCCCCTCTGTGGGAGCCCATGGAGTGGCGTGGGGGCAGGGACAGGGCTGCAGAGTCTGCCGACCGGTGGAGGCGGGGTAGAGAGCGGCTGTGGGTAGAGCCCAGGCCGTTGAGTGACCCTGTAGAGTACTTCCTCTGACGGGGTGCAGGGTCCATACCATTGTCCCCGTTCCGGCCCTGGGCGTAGAGCCTGCGGCCTAGACGAGGGCTGGAGGGCATGCTGGCAGCCCCACTGTGGCCCCGAGGAGGACGGGGGGCAGGCTCCCCATAGGAACAGGAACCATTCCACATGGACAGCAGAGAACTGGCTACAGTTGGGCGACGCCCATCAGAGGAGCTAGAGAGGAGCAGGCTGTCCTGTGATTGGTGGCGTGAGCGGGTGTATGGCGGTTTGGGGCTGAGAGGTCGCTCGCCCTGGCGAGGGGAGGGGGGCATGCTGCTACTGGTCATGTAGGGGAGGCCTCTGGAGGAGGGGGGGCGCTCGGCACTCCTGGGGGCCGTGGGGGACAGGGGGCTGGGAGGGGGCAGGCTGAGGTAGGTACGGGTAGATTCTGCGCTGGCCCTCAGGCTAGCCTCTAGAGCACTCTTCCTGCGCTGCAGAGTCTCCATCAAGTCCTGCAGCTCCGCCTTTGATCGGGAGCCTCTCATCATGGTGCCACCCACTGAGCCGCCATTGCTGTGCTTAATCTTTACACAGTCTGTGGAAATATCAGATGCATAGAAATCAAACTCTCATTAATGTGGATATATGATCCTGTCTTGGAGCACCCTTATAAACAGTGGAGTAAAACACACCCTATACTCAAGCCTAACTCCTATAAGCTGAGAGAAACTGAGGCAATCAGGCTGAGTGGGATCTAGTAACCAAACAGTGATCAGCCCCTGTAGTATGCTGACTAAGGAGGGAGAAACCAGCGAAGAACGTCCTTCAGACGGTTCTGGGCCCAAAACAAACACAGTCTGTGGTTAAGGAAAGCTTCTTCTAAAAATGGAAGAATGCTGGCGGAGCGAGATGGGACAGAATGCCTTTGTACTTTCTGGCACTGAGGAAGCACCTCTGTAAGCACGCCCCTTCCTCCCACCGACCCGGCACCCGCGGCCCAGCATGCAGTGCGGGGTTTCTGCTCTGAGACCACCTGGGCTGGCTGACCTCAGGCTCTGTTTATCTGTGCTGACATGCTGTCATTTGTTCTCTCAGCAGTGGATAAACTCACACCGGACAGGGGAGGATGTGGTGGACTTCCATTTATTTATACCTTACATGGGCAGTTTGACCCAAGTACTTTGGCTGTGTACGTAATCGTTTAGCTGAAGAGTATAACCATCAGACTTAAGTAACGCAGAGTAGAGCCAAGCAGAGCCAGAGCATGACCCTTGCCCCCAGCAGACAAAGAGACAGATAGATAGAGCGAGAGAACAAATACATTCTGAACTCTGAGAACCACTTCCTTACCACACATCCATCACAGTGACACCTTGGCACTTCTGGAGGTTCCTCTTGCAAGGGGATAAGGGGGACAAACAGGGGAGAATAGCAGTAGGAATGGGGAATGTAGAGACATAGCTGTAAGAGTGTAGTCTTCAGGGTTGTGTGAGAGAGAGATTGGTACCTACCTGAGCCGTAGACCATTGTGGCGACAGGACTCTTCTGGGGCTGCATGCTCTTCATACGTCTGGCCTCCTCAGGGTGGTTAAAGCGGAAGAAGTAGGATTTACCCAGACAGAGTGTGTATCCTGGATAAACAACAGTCAGAACTGACTCTCTCACAAATACACACACATTCAACAGAGCGCTTTGTAGAGTCTATTGAACACAGCCATGCACACACACACACACACACACACGATTGACTCCATGGTTATGTAAAAATGGACTCCTACCAAGAGCCGCCCATAAAAATAATTCTGAAACTCAAATCAACTCCCCAACCCCCAAACACACACACACACACACACACAATGCACACAACATAACGTTTCTACCTTGGAGCAAAGGGCTTTACTTTAGTTTTCTCCAATTACATCAACGTCCAAATAAAACACATTGTTTAATGCAGAGGGCAGTAGTTTAAGACAGTCCCGTCCAGTCAGCATATAGAGCACACTATAAATACCCTCTGTTCTCTAAACCCTACTGTCTGGAGCTGAGGAGCTAAATGAGGAAACCTTACAGAGTAGGAAAACAGATCCCAGGGAAATAATTCAGCCTCCAGCATTAATGATATCTGAGATGGAAACAAAAAATGTCCTCACTTTTGTGGACAAAGAATTGATGACTGAGAAGGCTGCTCTGTGTCCCTGAATCAATATGCCATTTCTCCTTTATCTATGTCATTGAGCCGGGCTGTCTGCTACACTGAGACGTTGTGATGATTTCAGCAATATTTACTCTCTGAGACTGGGGCTATGACAGAGATATACAACTCCCCTCCCCCAAACACACACACAAGCACACACACACACACACTTCAGGGTCTGAGTCTTCTGGGTCTGATAATCCAAGGTTTCCTGCTCCGCCAGGCTGATGGTTCTTCAGGAAGTGGGGTATCCATTTACACAGTCAGCTACATGCAATCCATCAGCATGAGTTAGTTCACCCTGCTCTGGCCACCTGAAACAGCTTTCCCTCATATGAGGAGTTGGGGTCATCATGCAGACAACAGGGCAGCAAGGCAGAGCAAAAAAACAGATATGGAGGATTTTTTTTTTATACACACCATTGGGGAATCCCAATTCACAGAGAAGGCCTCCTACACATTTGGGTTCTACTCAGTGTGTGTGTGAGTGTTATATGACTGGCCTTCCACTGTAACTACATCTACTTTGTTTAATCAAATCAAATCAAATTTTATTTGCCACATGTGTAGTAGACCTTACAGTGAAATGCTTACTTACAAGCCCTTAACCAACAACGCAGTTTCCAGAAAAAAAGTGTGAAGTAAAAAATAGATAAGTAATGGTATACAGTTGAAGTCGGAAGTTTACATACACTTAGGTTGGAGTCATTAATACTCGTTTTTCAACCCCTCCACAAATTTCTTTTTAACAAACTATAGTTTTGGCAAGTCAGTTAAGACATCTACTTTGTGCATGACACAAGTAATTTTTCCTAAAATTTATTACAGACAGATTATTTCACTTATAATTCACTGTATCACAATTCCAGTGGGTCAGAAGTTTACATACACTAAGTTGACTGTGCCTTTAAACAGCTTGGAAAATTCCAGAAAATGATGTCTTGGCTTTAGAAGCTTCTGATAGGCTAATTCACATAATTTGAGTCAATTGGAGGTGTACCTGTGGATGTATTTCAAGGCCTACCTTCAAACTCAGTGCCTCTTTGCTTGACATCATGGGATAATCAAAAGAAATCAGCCAAGACCTCAGAAAATTAATTGTAGATCTCCACAAGTCTGGTTCATCCTTGGGAGCAATTTCCAAACGCCTGAAGGTACCACGTTTATCTGTACAAACAATAGTATGCAAGTATAAACACCATGGGACCACGCAGCCGTCATACCGCTCAGGAAGGAGACGCATTCTGTCTCCTAGAGATGAACGTACTTTGGTGCGAAAAGTGCAAATCAATCCCAGAACACAGCAAAGGACATTGTGAAGATGCTGGAGGAAACAGGTACAAAAGTATCTATATCCACAATAAAACAAGTCCTATATCAACATAACTTGAAAGGCCGCTCAGCAAGGAAGAAGCCACTGCTCCAAAACCGCCATAAAAAAGCCAGACTACGGTTTGCAACTGCACATGGGGACAAAGATCGTACTTTTTGGAGAAGTGTATTCTCGTCTGATGAAACAAAAATATAACTGTTTGGCCATAATGACCATTGTTATGTTTGGAGGAAAAAGGTGGTTCTTGCAAACCGAAGAACACCATCCCAACCGTGAAGCACGGGGGTGGCAGCATCATGCTGTGGGGGTGCTTTGCTGCAGGATGGACTGGTGCACTTCACAAAATAGATGGTATCATGAGGAAGGAAAATTATGTGGATATATTGAAGCAACATCTCAAGACATCAGTCAGGAAGTTAAAGCTTGGTCGCAAATGGGTCTTCCAAATGAACAATGACCCCAAGCATACTTCCAAAGTTGTGGCAAAATGGCTTAAGGACAACAAAGTCAAGGTATTGGAGTGGCCATCACAAAGCCCTGACCTCAATCCTATAGACAATGTGTGGGCAGAACTGAAAAGGTGTGTGCCAGCAAGGAGGCCTACAAACCTGACTCAGTTACACCAGCTCTGTCAGGAGGAATGGGCCAAAATTCACCCAACTTGTGGGAAGCTTGTTGAAGGCTACCCGAAACGTTTGACCCAAGTTAAACAATTTAAAGGCAATGCTACCAAATACTAATTGAGTGTATGTAAACTTCTGACCCACTGGGAATGTGATGAAAGAAATAAAAGCTGAAATAAATCATTCTCTCTACTATTATTCTGACATTTCACATTCTTCAAATAAAGTGGTGATCCTAACTGACCTAAAACAGAGAATTTTTACTATGATTAAATGTCAGGAATTGTGAAAAACTGAGTTAACTGTATTTGGCTAAGGTGTATGTAAACATTTTTTTTTTTTTTTTTTTTTTACATTTTAGTCATTTAGCAGACGCTCTTATCCAGAGCGACTTACAGGAGCAATTAGGGTTAAGTGCCTTGCTTAAGGGCACATCGACAGATTTTTCACCTAGTCGGCTCGGGGATTAGAACCAGCGACCTTTCGGTTACTGGCACAACGCTCTTACCCACTAAGCTACCTGCCGACTTCAACTGTAGTAGGCTGTATATTAATAACTGATAATACCTGTAATAAGTTTTTCTAATAAAACATTTTCGCAACAACTAAATCCTCTATTAATAATCTGTCTGCTACAGAGAATGGCGGTGTGGCACCTCAGATAACCAAACACCCAGGGCTCAGGGAATCCCCCTCTAAAAAGCCTCTTCTGAGAATAGTAGCCTATCCCTTTTTGTCTAATTGAGTAACCACATAATGGCCACTAAGGACATGGTTATTTTGGAGAAAATATTTCATAATTAGGGACCAATGCGCAGGCCGCTCGACTTCTGCATGCATCTATGCTATCTCCCAATCACATAAAAAAAACACGAGTGATCAAGTTACATAATTCTTAGAAATAAATAGGACTATTGCTATTACTGTTTATTTTTTCCCAAGGAGTACCAAACGACTTCGGGGAAACGGTGCAAGAAGTATCAAACCACTTCGGGGAAACGGTGCAACCATATGAAAATGATTAAGAAAAGCGCACTCTCGGCCATTTAGCTCTAAACAGTCCCCTAAAAGGTGTGCGGCTTATCCTACTACTGAGTCCATACAAAAATGCACTTCCGAGTATTTCAATCGCTTTCAAATAAAATAAGAACATAAAACTATTTTGCGCGCAACTACTTCACAAACTGGACATAACCAACTAAAACCATGCATAGCCTAAAATTGAACAATGAAACCAAACAGGAGTTCACGAAAGATTATTTACTGGTTAAAAAAGTTATTATCCTGCAAGATGAGGTGGGAGAACGCTGGGTGAAACAGACGCATCTTCTCTGGAGCAACCGATAGGTTTCTCCAAACTTTTGAGAACGTCTGAGATGTCTTTGTTCGGAGGACGACAACTAACCTTTGTGTGCTGTCCCATTCAAACTGTTGAGCCTTGGTGATGGACGGAACTCCTCTGCCTTGGATTAGCATGACAAAGGGACAGAGACACTTCCCTCTGCTACCTTGACGAGTCCTCAGACACTCCTCCCCATTCTCAGACGGAGCCCTAAACCTGGCGACTGCGCAAGTCTGGTTGGCTGATTTGGGTGGTCGCAGACGCGCCAAATGGGGAAGAGGAGGGGGCTTTGGTGGGACGGGGGAGAGGGGGGCGGGTAACGGGGGATGCTGTAACCCCACCCTAAGAGACAGTTCGAGTTTATAAACGTGGATATCGATTTTACCATTCAGCATGCTTTTGTGGCACAGTCGATACAACGCAGGGCTACGGGTCAGAAGGCTGAGGGTTCGCCGACCACCACAGACGAGCTGACTCTCCCTGCTTGTTTCATTAGGCCTACACTACGATCAGAGCCTGCTGCAGACAATGATCAGCTAGGGGGGGGGGATCAGATGTTCAATATTTTTATGCCATATTTATAATTACATAAAATATGTGCAACGAATTTTCCACCAACAGGTTTCTGTGCCAATGCACCACACAACCAATAAACAAAGCATATCGACTTCGGGCGCTTCAATATTATGGTTTGCATTTTCAACACCACAATAAATAGACTGTCAATCTTGGCAAACAGAAAATACATCCCTTCCTACCTTGTAGGTCTACCCATTTTTACATTTACATTTTAGTCATTTAGCAGACGCTCTTATCCTGAGTGCATAATTATTATTTTTTATACTGGCCCCCAGTATCAAAGCTTGGCTTGACAATCTCCTAATGTCATTAAACTTTCTGGTGTTTTGTAACAGAGGTCTCTTTCCATTCATCAAATGGCAGCTGCACAGTTTGGATTAATTAATTGATTGATTTTATTTGTCAGTAAAAAAAATATACATATATATATATATACACACTGTACAAAGATTGCACATTAAAGTCGGGGACTTATTTCCATTGTGCGTAAATACTTAGTGCACGTAAAAATAACTTTTGTGGTTAAATTCCCATGCACCGAATAAAAAATACAAGTTAAATGGGTTTCCATCGTATTTTTAACTCTAGGCCTACTGATGGTTTTGTCACAAAACATTTTGCGTAGCTTTAGCGAATGTGCACAGTCTGCTAGGCTATTGGCACGTGGGCTCTAGCCGACAGCTCGCAGATACAGTACGGGTATAGCAGCTCGCAGATACAGTACGGGTATAGCAGCTCGCAGATACAGTACGGGTATAGCAGCTCGCAGATACAGTACGGGTATAGCAGCTCGCAGATACAGTACGGGTATAGCAGCTCGCAGATACAGTACGGGTATAGCAGCTCGCAGATACAGTATGGGTATAGCCCACATGATGAGGATTTATTGTGGACAAAAGTGTGAGATTATTTGTATTTGTCAAATTGCAGCCAAGCATTGATCATCATGTCACCAGAATAAGACCCTCGATATGTATTGAAAGGAGCATCAAGCTCATCACCGTGCACTTTCACCACCCTGTGAAGTTCATCATACTTTATTTAATCTAGCCTAATAAATGGCATGCTTTCCCTGTCGTGACATGATTTATCCGACATGTAGGTCTACTTTACTCGCATAAAACGGTCGGATGTAAACCTGGTTAATGTAAAGCCATTTTGAGAATGCTGGAATTATATTTAGGATGAATGTGCGCATGCCTACAGGATATTTTTGAAGTAGCCTAATCAGATTAAAGCATTGTGTCTGGTTGTGTTTATGCCATATATAAAATACAATACACTTTAAAAGTTAAATGACAAATATTTAGGTTGTACGTGCGTGAGGAATAGCCGCTCAGATTGAATAGGCAGAGTCGCGTTAAACTTTCCTGAATAACTGGGCCTGCCAGGTGCATATGTGGCCACATTATTATAGGACGACCGTGGGAGAATGATGATCTGCAACAGACAGCACATCTCAGTATCAGAATTAAAAATACAGCCAGACTGGCCTTCTACTGTGCCTTTCTAGACCTTATAAACTGTCGAGAGTAGACCCGCAACTGATCCAAATGGAATTAAACATTCAAATCACAGGGCTTTTGCGCCGTTATTCAAATGACATTCTCCCTGCAGCCTAGAGTATAATTTTTTACTCACTTGAAAACAATAATGCAATTATGACTTATATTGTGGTGTTGTAGGCTAGTCTAGGACGGATACTTGTAATAGGGGAGCTTTTTGAGCTGCGTGCAGGGGCGGTGTGTTCAATAGGGCGATATGGGCGACGCACTGCCAAACGGGAAAAGGAAGGGATTTTTTTTCTAATCAATTATATCACGGCAACAGTAGTTATCAGTGTTGTAATCTAGACGTCTGATCTGCCACAGTGCCACTAAATGTCCAATCAGGCTAAAGTCGTGCTTCAAATGCCCCCCCCCCCCCCCCCCTTTTGGGGCGATTTCAGTCAGGTTGAAAATCGCCCAGAAGTCTGTCATAGACTCCCATGTAAAATCTATTTTTTTCAAATATCAGAGCTTTCAATACAATCTCTATGGGTTTCTGAGGGCTTGCACTTACGCGCTTTCGTCATACGTAAAATAACCATGAACGTAACTAAGAAAAGAGCGGGTAGCCTCGTCAATCAATTCACTACTACTATCAAAATGGCTAGGCTTCAGTGCAACTCGATTGTGTCTTTGAAAGAAGTTCCTTTTTGTCGGCGAACAAATGAAGATAAATTGGCAACGAAACAATTAGGACCTCCCAGACCAAATTTAATAATTCAACAGGTTTCTACTAAAGGGGGGAAGTCCTACACCCGAGGATTTTCCAAAAATTGGTACGAACGAAAAACCTGGCTAGCAGGCTGCGATGTAGCTAATGCAGTCTTCTGCTACCCCCTGCTTACTCTTTCACCCTGAAGGCGGCACGGCAGACAGCACCGCTTGGACAGCGACTGGTGTGTAACGGACATGCACCATCTTTCAGGAAAGATTAAGAAACATGAGCTGTCAAAGACCCACATGGATAGCTGTTTGAGATTGTCTGCTTTGGGGAGAGTGAACATTCCCACTCAACTGGATGAGGGATACAGGCTAGCTGTCCTCCGCCACAACGATGAGGTTAGTGTTGATAATCACAAGTTTACTGGAGAACTGAAACTGACAAGGCTGACAAGATAGGACCCTTTTGTCCATTGTTATTGGATAGGAACAGAACTTATAACCAGCTCCTGACCTAAATAGATCTTAGCACAACATTTTACTCAACATATCATATTCCATATTCACTATAACAAATATATTTACTACGACATTAGCAAGAACCGCCACATCCTCAGCCGGCTAATCCAGTGTGTGAAGTTTTGCGGAGTGTTTGAGTTAGCTTTGCGAGGCAAAGATGAAACTGAGGGCTCCACCAACCCTGGTAAGCCAACACTTTTGAGATCAGTCAATAAATGCTTCTGGTATTGACTTATATGCTGCCCCTGTCTTCATGTTGTTGCTGGACATATCTTTTTTAAAATGTGTGTAGGTCACCTAAATCATCAGAAAAATTGCCCCCCCTGAGAATTTTTTCAGGAGCCGCCACTGGCTGCGTGTCTCATAGTTCTTTCATGCGCAATGATGCACCTGGCCTCTCTGCTGCCTATCAGATATTCCTATTTGTTCTTGTGGATTCATATTGAAAATTGATGCAGCTTTGAATGCTTTTGTGTGTGTTATGATTGCTAGCTAGCCTATTGCAGATATTGACAAACGGTCCACCTACCACTATAGAGCTCGCCATCTTGTAGTCCTAAAACCCCGAAATAAGTTACCTCTGGTTCGTTCAGCCATCCCTATGGGAAAATGAATAGGGAAAGAATAGGGTTTTGGAATAAATTAGAAAATAAGGTCTGAGGTTAACACAGGCTTAGGAGATCTTATAAGTTTTGTTCTTTGCGATAATAGCAGTCAGTTAACATGACCTTTATGAATGATGAAGCCTTTCTGTAATGTATGTTTTTATTATTACAAATTCTTCAAAATTAACAAAAAGTGAAATTACCAGATGAAGATTATCTCATAGAACAAAATGTATAAGATCTCCTAAGCCTGTGTTTGCCAGAGACCTTATTTTCGGCGTTTGTCCCAACAAAATCCTACAAAACACTATTCATTTCACCCATAGGCCTTGTCCAACGAACCATGGCGAAGTTAGTGCCTACAAAAAGACACCATTACTATTTCTCTCTATTGACACTATGAATGGTGGACAGAGGGCAGGATAGACAGTTAGACTGGTATATACTGACCTGTGGTATAGTAAAAGTTAGCATGGAAAAGCATAGTGCATAAGGGAAGTACCAAAACACCTTGATATAGGGGAGGCGCCAGCAAATTTGGCTAGGATGGAAGAAATTATACAGTAAAACCTGCAAAAGAGCGAATGTAAACCAGGGAAAAAATGCACTATCCTCCCCTGTGCCCAATAAAACACCACACAACCCTCGCCAAAGCAAAAAAAACCCTCCCCTATTTTGGACCCCCCCCCCCCCCCCCCCCCCCCCCCCCCCCAGTACATTTAGAACGGTCCCTAATCGATCCAAGCTGATAAAACAGTCCAAAGAGCAATGTCTAAAACAAAATCATCAGCACATTACGCACATCACTCAAGTCTCTAATCAGTGCTTTTTCCTTGTTTATTTCACACCTAAATAATGTAGACCACTGTATGTTTCCCCTAGGGCATTAAAAACGACATTAACCAGTTAGAGCTACTACAATTGTCCTGTTAACAACAACTTCCAAACTGACTGCTACACTTGGTTGAAAACAGTTAACAGATACTATAAACACTAATACCTACTGCTAACATTATAATATAACTAACATTAAACTGATACAAAGGAGCAGTGACTGTCCAACACAGAGACGAACTAACAAATTAATGACTGTCATCTCTCAGAGTGTGGACCGTGGGATAGTGTGTATGTGTGTGTGTGTGTGTGTGTGTGTATGTAAGTGTGTGTGTGTGTTTGAGGTGTATTTGTAGAAGTGAAAGTTAGGCAGTGGAAGGCAGGGGTCTCGGCCACTGCTGAAACCCTTCAGGCTCTGCTCTCCATCACACTCACAACTACGGTTACATCATGGGGTGGGGGCGCTGGAGTGC